AAGTCATGAAGAGCAAGCCAATACACAGGACTCCTCCATGGTCTCTGCATTAGTTCCTGACTCATGGTTTCTGCATTGTTTGAGTTCCTGCCCTGCATTCCCTCAGTAATAGACTGTGATGTGGAATTATAAGCTGAAATAAACTCTCATCAAATATGGATGGAAAACTCATCAAATTGAATGATGGTCATGCTTTAAACACACTCAAGAAACAACCCAAGTAAAGTTCAAAGGATCTGTTGGGTAAGGTAGTTGCTCTAACCAAGGAATAATTGTGATGACTTTTATGCATTTAAAAACTCATATCATCAACTCACTAGCTAATGGGTCAAAGATAAAAAAAAAATCTGGATGTTAACTAGCCCCATAGGGTACCACAGTCCCCAAGCAGGTTACAGCCTGTATTACTCCTTTAATCATGTTGTAACTCTAGCTCTGTTTTGTCTTTCCATTTTTACAGTTTGTTACTATGTGGATGTTAAGCATTAATTTCTATTTTTCAATCCCATTTCCTGTGGTTCAGCAGTGAAATACTTCATAAGGCTCGATGCAAAGAACTGAGAAAATATAAATAGACCAAACAACAGCTTTCCTGATAAGTGTGAGGTTCCTTCCTATTTTAGGGCTTTGAGGGAGGCTCGTTTGCTTAAGCTCCAAAATGTTTACAGCTGACGTGACTTGTACCCAGCAGGAACTGACCTAAAATCTAGCATCAGATATTCTATAGTCATGAACATGAATAGGAGTTTCTTTGCCTGAAAATGTGTAAAATCTTTGCCATGCAGGAAAGGTGCATCTCTATTGGGTATCCCATGCATACTGCCACATGTCCACATTTTGTAATTTTTTTCAGAATGTATAAAGTTTATAATATGCCTTGAAGAAGAAGAGCATTAATGGGCTTTTATCGCATCTGATAAATAATTCATTGACTTGGATGATGACCAGCTTCCCAGAAGTATAATAGAAGATTGCTGTGAATTGAATCATTATATTAGGTGACTTGCTTGGATAGAGCAAGTAAAATTTGAAGTAAATGATTAAGCTAATATCCAGATTATATATCACATATAGTCAGGGAAATTTTCTGCCATGTAATGGTTAGTATCAGGTATTATGCAATGAGAACTTTGATGATGGGAGTAGAATTATTCATGTTTGTTAACTTTGTTATATGTCTCTAATATTTTTTAGCAGAAGTAGGGGACAAAGCTTGTCATGAGTTAATATTCTTGTTTCTTATTGTTCTCTTTGTATCATAGATATTTTCATCCATGATTTCAAAATGATAAATGATTTTGGAGTGAATGTGAAGCACAGGGGTAGAGCTCTTGACTAGCATGCTTGAGACCCCTGAGTTTGATCCTTAGATTTTCAAAAAGAGATCAATTGAAAAATTGAAAGTAGAAATAAGATTTTAATATTTCAGTTGGTAAAACAAAATACCTGATTAATATTTGAATGCCTACAAATTAACAACCATCTGTTTTGATAAGAGGAAACTCTACTCATGCACTGAGTATCTTTAAACTCCTGGTCTCCACTTACAATTAATGAGTATTTATTGACTATTCTGAGGATAGGATGAGAGTTATCCACATTTGTTAATTTTTCTGTAGTTCTCTAATATTTTTATATTTGTACATTCTTTAAAATTTTACTGTGTATCTATGAATGAGTTTGCTGGTTTTGCTCTTTTTGATAAAGGTTATATAGTAAACTGGGGAATGACAGAAAGAAAAAAGAGATGAACATAGTACTCAAAACTTTATTTTTTATTACTAAAATGCGCTTTCTTTTAACTGTTTGTTCATTTTATCTTTTATCTAAATTTGTTTTTGATTAACAAGTTAATTGCATGAAAATGGACTATATATCATAGCACAATTACACAATGCACTTTGATTCTATCATGAAAACATTCTTCAAAAAGTACACTTCTTGATAATACTTTTGGTCTTGGTACATCAGTTTTATTTTGATAAACTTTATTATGGCTGTTAGAGGCATTTAGGGATTGTGCTGACTTAGTAAAGTAGGTCTTCTTCAAGAACCATGACCTCACTAGCCCCAGGGAGTTGGCGGAGTTCCTAGTTCCAGGCATGACTTCTCTCTCATTGAAGAGGCCTTAAGTCCAGTTACAGAGCTGTTAGTGACTGCCAAGGTATGGGTGCCACTATCGCACCCTTTCGGCTTTCATGCTATGCTGCTCATTGTTGTGATTTATTAGCATCATGGGTGTGCAGGACTATTGGTTACTACCCTCCCTTGAATGTTTGCTTGGCACCTTCTGGTGCTATGAAAGTAGCACTTTGACCCAACTAATCAAAATCAAGAAATGGACAACCCAAAATAACAGAAATGAACAGGGAAGCATCACAACAGTCATCAAAGAAATTCAGAATAATCTAAGAGAATATTTTAAAAACCCATAGTCTGTTAATTTGGAAAATCTAAAAGAAATGAATGAATTATAGATTCACCCATGTAATCATTTAATCAATTTTGATCTAGTATCATAAGATAAGCATTTTGTATGTTATTTCAAAATGAATTAAGTCTTTATTCATTGATATTTTACATATATTTTTTGTAATTTCTTTTGTTTTTTGTACATATGGTACATTTTTAAAACTGTCAGGCTGTGATTGATAACACTGCCCTGTGTGTTATTTGTGATGGCTCTAAACTTTTTAATTCTTGGAACTGAGAATACTGAGTCAAATGCATTAGTTAGTATTAAAGCATAGCATACCTGAAAATCAGATAGTTCATCACTTACAAATGGACCAGAGATGATATTATAATTGGCAATTTGAGAAAGTGTCATATAATGAATCTGAAGAAATATAACTCCCTTTCCATCTCTTTAAGGAAAACTAAGAATCTGAAGAAAGTATAGAATATGTTACCTTACTAGATTTAAAAACAAACAAACAAATAAATAAAACCCAAACAAGCTAGAGGTGGATCAAAAGAGTCTTATTAAAAACTTACATTTTTAGCATTATCATCTTTGTTACTATAATTTTTATTTGTATCTTTTATTTACAAAAGAATGCATGCAGATTTAAGAGAAACCCATGCATTGTTCTCATAGTTCTGAGAGATGCTACCACATTAATTCATTTGCTTGTAAACTTTATGTACATATATATGAGTGATGGGGTAGGGTGTGTTGTATACAAAATGTAATTGTACTGACTTCATATTTTTGTAATATGAGCATTCTGTATACCATCTCATGCAATCTATGTTACTTAGTGGCTATCTACTGTTTCATAATTTATTTATTCTTTGACCTTTATCTTACCACACTTTGCAGGACTATTATGAATACTAGTTCTGTGAGTGTTTTCCCAAGTAAATTTAGCACTTCTGATTATGCAATTAGAGTATGTATATTTGGAATTGCTAGCTTAAAGAGAATGCCACATACAGATTTCATCTTTGTAATAGTATGTAGTATTACCATGTATCTGTCATTAGTCTACCCAGGTTATCATAATACTGTGTCCCTTGATTATTTACCTACTTGGTCTCTAATGTTATTTCCTTGGACAACTGTAATGATCAAACAACTGAGTCATTAAACAGTGACACCAACTGTAAGGATTTTTTTAGTGGGTTGAAATACAAGTGGATTGTTGAAAATAAATTAAGTAGCTATCATGGTTATTTTCTGCTGATCATGTGATCTACATGGTGATTGGAACACCTTCTGAGAAACTCGCACACCTTCTACATCTACCATAGAGTGCCTGTTAAGGTTGGCCCCTTCGCTGCTACTCTGCTACATTCTAAGAGCTTCCCAGCTGCTCATTTGGGCAAAGAATCTGTGATATTACTTGGCCAACTTCTTTGTTTCTATGCCCATTTCTTTCTCCCATTTCTCTGGTTACACCCACTTTCCTTTCTAGTGGTGTGATTGTGCTTGGGGGTTTTATGGAACACTTCTTCTTTTCCCCTGTTCTGATTTTAATCTGCACGATATACATAGGTATTTGTTCCTCTGTGTGATTAGGATGCAGAGAAAACAAATCATCCACAGAACGCCTCTAGGAAAGCTTGTCCCACTGGAGTACATTCCTCCTGTCTTTTCCATCTTAACACACATTGGCAGAAACAGAACAAAGAAAGCAGATGGCTGAACTTTAGAAGCCAGAGGGCTCTTAGGGAACCTTCCTAGCAGAAGGGCCTTTGAGGATAATTGACATTTGACATTTCCTCAAGCCCTTTGTAAAACTAAGGACTTCTGATTTGGAATGGTGGAGTCTTCTTGGGCATCCGGGGATGATGCTTCTGAAGTGAATCGATAATTCATGCAATTCTAGAATTTAAAAAATGCATCCACATTTGACTCTTGAATGGGAATATTTCTCCTATTCTGTGGGATGGCAAGTGTGTATCCCTCATCATTTCCCACAGTTTAGTCTCTTAAGCTTAGGAGTCATGGTCAAGGTGCTCTTGAGCCAGACCTTGAGACCTTGTCAGGTTAACTATGTGGAGAGAGAAGGTCATGCTTTGAGGACAGAGACATGACATATCTTAGTGTGCTTGGAGTGCAGTTCTACGTTACTTGAGTAATTTGGTTTAATGCGCACTGCATCTGTTATAAAAAGAGAAATGCTATAACAACACATTCTTGGGTATTGCATTTTGTTTTGTTGTCGTTTTTTCCTAGAAAGAGTGGGAGAAAGAAAAAGGCGTTATTTTTCCTCTTTCTAATCAGATGGGAAAAGTTAATGTTGCAAAAGTTATTGAAATTATTTGTTACAATGAGGGTATTAGCTACTCCAGTGAATGGCATTCATTTTCCCAACACCAGGTTTCCATCAGGGACTGAAGTCTGGGGGGTGTTATTACGATGAAAAAGTGCTGTACACTGTTCTATCTATACAGAGGGGCTTGTGCTCTGAATTATATAGATCAACATTATCTATTAAACCAAATAACACTAGGGGGTGTGACTGACACTGTTGTCTTGACCTGCTTTCCAGGGAAAGGTGATGTGTTTGGAGACATCTTCTGGAAGGAAACCACACTTGCTCATGCTTGTGCCAATGTCCGGGCTCTGACTTACTGTGACCTGCACATCATCAAGCGAGAAGCCTTGCTCAAGGTCCTGGACTTCTATACAGCATTTGCAAACTCATTTTCAAGGAACCTCACTCTCACTTGCAATCTAAGGAAGCGGGTATGTCATATCTACTTTCTCTTATGAGTATCCAGGGTGCTAGCCGGCTATGTTCTATCAGCCAAGGATGGAAAGTGCTTCATTTTGAAGTGGTACATCCCCATCTGCATGGGGTGATGTAATTTTCCTTCCTTTTATTTGTGTTGTTTGCTTTTACAGGGAGAAGATACTCTGACTATCTGAGTAAATATTTGATTCTTTGTCATTTAAGATGCAAAATGAAAAAACAGACTTGGGGAGAAACAAATGGGGCTGGAAACTGTGCTATGGCATGGCATATCATTAGTCAGGGTTCAGAATATCCAACGTCTAAGAATCCAGTGATTGCTCAGTCCACAAGACTGAGTGTCTAAGTGGTCTTCATTATACAGCATGATCCCAAAGAGTAGGCTCTAATGCCAGTGAAGGAATGAACTTGCCAGAGAGAGTGAGTGTGAAGCAGGCAGAGAGCCAGATATCCCTTCTTCCATTTCCTTTATATAGCTGCCACCAGAAGAGGTGTCCTAGGTTTAAGGTGCATCTTCCCACCTCAAAAGATACAGACTTAGGGTGAGTCTTCCCACTTCAAATAATTCAATCAAGAAAAAAATCTCTTACAGGTGTACTCAGCCCCTTGATATTTAGTTAATTCCAGATGTGGTCAAGTTGGTAACCAAGGACACCCATCACATATGGTTAGCTGCTGGAGTTTGTGTTACTGCTCTAAAAGGGACAGCAACACCTTTCTTTTAGGATGTTGCTGTCTTTAGAATTCGGGATGTCAATCAAGCTGGCTACCCATTTTCTATTCCCATTGCTCTTTAAACCCTTCTTCTCATCTCATAATCGATTCACAAGCTTCCTTTTCATCAATTCTTTCAAAGAACACCATCAGAAAAATGAATTAGCCACCCTGACATACTGTGTAAATAGAGACAGGATTTGTTTCCTTGGGTACTGCTGAAAATTTGATCTTCATTACCATTTGTTTCTTTATTGATGAGTGTGGCATAAAGTCAATTTGCATAAAGAAACCTCCTCTCTCTGATTTATAGGTCATTGGGCATTGGCTAAGACTCATTTTATGGCCAAGAATGAAATACACATTTGGACAACTGCACTTACGGGACTTCACATAAAATGATTGCATGTCTACACTGAAGTATTTTGGAATAACAGTCCTTCCTTTTGACAGCCTCTTAAAACCTTTCTTGTAGTTAATATGAAGGCAAACAAGCCAGTCAAGATAGAAATTAATGTCCACACTGTAGCAATGCAGAAAGAAATAGAATTCAATCAATGTGCTTCTTGCTTAGGTTCCAAGAGAAGTCTAGGCCAGCAGGAATGGGAATCTCACTGACTTTTCAAATGTTTGATCTGTACTAGAGCAATGTTTCAGTTCATATGTTTGTTAACAAATTGTCATCGAATATCCAGGAGCTGTGGAACAAGTAAACAGCTATAGAGAACAGGGATGAACCACAGACTTCTGTGCTCAGAATGCTTCAAGTGCACATAGTGTGAAACACCAGCAATTGGACATTAGCCAGGGACAGATGATGGAAAAGGGTCCAAATATTTTTGCTTGTTGTTAGGGAGCCCACAGTTCTTGGATCCATACTCTGCTTTCTGCTGTAAGGTCTCTATCCACCAACAGCTATTTGAAGCTCTTATGTTCACACTAACTCAAAATGGATCCAATTTGGAATTTTTCCTGATTCTGTAAGGTTACCTGAACCCTTACCAATCATATTACATTTTGCAGAATACCCACTGTCATTGTCCTCCTCAAAACAGATTGTTTACATCAGATCTCATTTTATATTTATGACATTTTTGTGACTTATGATGGAGACTTATTTCTCCCTCCAGCCATGTGAAGAAATCAGGACCAGGGAGATTAATATTAAACAACCAACTGTCCTACATAGATTTACTATTGCTGCTGAAACATCATGACCAAAAGTGAGTTGAGGAAAGAGTTTATTTGGCTTGCACTTCCATAATGTAGTCTATAACTGAAGGAAGTCAGAACAGGAACTCAAGGAGGGCAGGAATCTAGAGGCAGGAGTGTAGCAGGCTTTATTTGGAGTCACTAACCAGCTCCCAAGTCATAACATGGAGACTTATTATTGGTTATGAATGCCCAGCCTTATCTTATGCTTGTTTCTAGTTAGCTTTTATAACTTAATTTAACCTGTTCTCTTCATCTACATTTTGCCTCAGGGCTTTTACCTTTCTTTCTTTCTGTATGTCCTACTCCATGTTTGGCTGACTGGTGGCTACCTGACTGGCTGGCCCCAGGCATCTCCCTTTCTTTCTCCCTCATTCTCTTCTCTCTTCTCTTCTTCAAGCCTAGATTCCTCATCCTACTTATTCTCTTTGCCCACCAGCTTCTACTGCCTAGCTATTGGCTATTCAGGCTTTTTTAGATCAATCATGTGCCTTAGGCAGGCAAAGCAACACATCTTTACATTGTTAAACAAATGCAACATAAACAAATGTAACATATCTTTGCCTAGTTAAAGTAATATTCCACAACATAAACAAATATAACCTATCTGTACATAGTTAAGGTAATATTCTACAACATAGGAGCTAATGCAGAAGCCTTAGATTGGATACTGCTAACTGGCTTGCTTACCATAGCTTGCAGAGCCTGCTTTCTTATAGAACCCAAGACCACCAGCCCAGGAATGGTACCACCCACAATGGGCTGGGCCCTCCCCCATCAATCATTAATTAAGAAAATGCTCCACAGCCGGGTCTTATAGAGGCATATTTTTTCACTTGAGGCTCTCTTATTTCAGACAACAGCTTGTGTCAAGTTGACGTAAAACCAACCAGCACATCAATTGATATGGTTATAAGGCAAAGTCTCCAGAAGGAATAATTCAAACAGATCACAAATAGAATATACAGTTCATCAAAATAAGTTGATAAACTTTATGATTATAAAGCTCTGCTTCATTTTTTCTCTTGCACACTCCTATGCATGTGTTTGTACAGTTATAGCACACACACACACACACACACACACACACACACACACACACACACAAACATTTTGTTGGTTATTAGAGCTGACAATCTGTATAATTGTGGTTCCACCAGTTAAAACATTTGAGCTGCAGACCATGAACACTGGTTTGTTTTTATTTTTTAATCAGGATGTGGGGACTACATGCTTGTCTCTACAGGTACTAGTGTGCTAAGTTACAAATGGCTTCTCCCCTTCCCAATCTGCTATAACTTTCATTGTTTTTTTTTAAATTTTATTTGTTCTAATAATAATTCTAATCTAATTCATAATCCCATCCCTCTGCTCTTAATGGGTTATTTAGTAACTTGGCTCATTGGAGAACAGGATGTGGTGCCAGTCTCTGCCTCTTTATTCTCAGTCAAACAAATTGTGAAAGAGAACTGTGAAAGAGGATCTTCCAATGATTAGTAATACCAACTACCGTTGGAACAGCCTATTTTATGTGCCTAGGCATAATGCATTTTAATTATGATAATATTATTAGTGTCATCACCCTACAAACAAGGCAGAATAATCTCCATTTCAACTATAGGACAGTGAAGGTTCTGAGAGTGATATTTACATCTGCCAAACAATTTGTGGGTCAAGATCCAGATTTTAACCATTCTTTGATTCTACAAACTTCTCACAATAGTTGCCAGGCTTTCCCATAGACATTTTTTTTTTTTTACAGACAAATGCTTCCCATGTGTCGAATGTCTCATTTGCTCATTTACTTTATTCCCCATTGTTTTACTAATTGGAAAAAGATGGGTTTTCTTGCTGTTGTTGTAAGAATGATTTTGTTGAATAGTTGTTGCTCACTTCTATAACCGAGACTATGTTCTTAGTGAGCTATGGACGCCATAGTGACCATGGCCATTGAGTAAGAATATGATTCTAGTAAGTGGGGAATCAGACTTTGAACTCAAGTTCTCAGCCATAGTGATGTGCATCTCTGGCCACTTTATAATGGCTGCTTTATAAATTTATACATTGCTTCCAAGGAGACATTGTAGAGTGTGTGGTTTTCAATGTCTGTGCTAGAGAGGAACTGGGTGATTCTTTGGTTCCTGACCCTCATCTCCTGCTGTACAAATAAGGTTCCCCTTAACAGAAACAAGTCTTTAACTCTTCTATTTAAAAAATTATTGTAAAAGAAGTCTAGTAATTTTATCCAACAATTAGAGCTGGGATTAGCAAACTTTTTGAATCAAGGACAAGATAGTAAAATCTTTAGGATTTGTTTGCTAACCTCAACTATCCAACTTCACTGTTATGGCACAAGAACATCTTCCTACACTAGTCAACTCTAACAGAATAGAATCAAGAACTTCAGTACGTTTTGTGTAATAATCTTATTAAATGCCAGCAATACACATAAGGCACAATAGTAGTCATTTCACCCATGAGAAGGCTGAGTTTCTGAGACTGGGATATTGTATCTCAAACACTGGCTGTTTTAAATAAGGATTTTTCAATCTAATGGTTAGGAAGCCTGAATTGAGTGTCTGGCCCATTTGATTCCATGGTGAGAGCTCTTTTTGGAGTTTGCAGATGACTACCTTCTCAGTGTGCCCTCATGGTGGGACAGGGAGGGATGGACTCTCTGCCTCTCTTTTTATAGAGGGCTGTCAGTGTAAATAGGCCAATAAACAAACGCTGTTGTGTTTCTATAAACCATTACCAGACAGGTAACTGGCTACCCATGGGTCTCAAGTGTGTCAGCTGCTAGATGCAGAGGACTGGAATGATGCTGGAAATGGTGGCTATACAAATAGAAATCTTTCTGCCTTTAACAGAAAGCCCATTTCCCTTATTTTCCACCCAGCCAGAGGGCCACTGTAAGACAGAAAATATCATACAGTTAGGAGTGGTTTCAGAGCCAGGAAGAGAGCGCTCAGGAGCAAAGACACTGGCAGTTAGTGAGAAGTTGAGTGAGTTCACATTGAAGGTCAAGGCCTCTAGTTCTCTCTCAGGTTGGAAACTGCTTCATTGA